GGTGCACAAGTCAGAACTTAGGGGAAGCGCTGAAATCTTCACTCAGTGGAAAGCTGGGTGTGTGTGGTACAAGAGTATACAAACACATAGTGTCTACCTACCCCAGAGCCCAGCCACCAAGGGTCACGGTCTTAGATGACCGTCCCTGTCAACCACAGTCCATAAGTCATTCAGGCTGCTCCCAGGTAAGCAGATTTTGCCATGCATCATAGGAAGAATTCCATCTTAGAGAATTGCTACCCTTTCTGGGCCATTTAGCTCCTTGTGTTTTCTCAAAACACTAAAACAATTACACATTAATTAAGACAAAGTATTTTATACTATTTATATCAATTTTTATAGCAAAGGGATAGATTTTGGTTAGCTCCCCCACCCCCACTAAAATTTAAAGTCTGAGGCTGGTGAATTGGCTCAGTGGGTAAGAGCACTTGTCGCCAAGCCTGGTGACCTGAGTTTGGTCCCTGAGATCTGCAGGCTTTCGGGGGCCTGTCTAACAGGGAATGGTCCAGTCTTGTAGCCCTGAAGACCTGCCTGTGGGCTCAGACCTCATGCAGGGTCAACAGGCTGTGTGTTCCCTTTGCTTCTAGAAGGCACCTTCCTCCCAGACCTCACCACGTAATAACAAAACCCTAAACCCTTCCTCTGTGTTGTCCCCCAAATTGTTCTACACACCCTTGTGGCACACAAGGGTATACACATGTACAGGGACACACACACACACACACACACACACACACACACACACACACACACATAAATAATAAAAAAATTCTATTTAAGTCTTTGTAGATTTTTAGACTTCTAATATGTTTTGCTCATTTTCAGGAGGGGAAGGGGAAAGAAGATTTGCATATCCGAGATGCCTGATCATAACCAGGCCCCTTGAAGCTAGTCTTTTTGAACAGTCTTTTTAAGATTTTTCCGGAAGAATTCAGAATCAAAGGCCAGCAGTCCCGGTTCTCTGGTAACCACAGGGTCCCCAGGGGATAGAGCTCTTTCTTATTTCTCTCTGACTGTGTTTCTCTTTTCCACCAAAGAGCCCACGAAAGCCAAATGCCAGAAGTTGCCCTGAAAGCAGGCCTTGTATGAGGCGCTCACCCCAATGAAGAATGCTTGTCTGTCTCCTGATGGCTAGGGTGGATGGAATTTTCTGGAGAGTAGGCAGCCCTGGGGTCCTTTTTATGCTGCTCCTGAGAGCAGAGGGAGGTAGAATATGAAGAAGGCCGTTCTCAGGACTGCCAGGGACCAGTGAACACGGGAACAAACAAGCTCCTGAAGATGGAGACATGCCAGGGTGGGTCCCATGCAGGACGAAGAGGCCACTTGTTACCTTTGCTCTAGAAGGCCAGCTTGGTCTTACACCTCCCACCTTAGTCTCCCCAGACCTAACCACTTAATCATGATCCCCAACATCTTTGTTGTCCTTGGTCTTAGCCTTGACCTTCCTGTCCCTGTAAAGTGGCCCAGCCTCAACTGTGGGTGCCCTGTGGCTTTCCCCTCTCTCTACTGCAAGGGGCGAACCCTTCCTTTCCTAGAACAGCAAGGCTCTCAACTATGTGTCCAGCCTCTGCTCTTTTTTTTTTCTTATGATACTGTCTTTGGTATTTCTCAGTAGATCTCAGACCTGACCAGTGTGTGGTAAGGAGCGATGACTAGCTGTAGCATATGGTATAGGGAGGAGACAGTTGTGGTCTCATGGCCACAGGCAGAGCACACACTGAGTATTGTGAAGTCTTTTAGAGCCCCACTCTTGGGGAAGTCTGAGCTTCTCACCCTTTACCCCTTCTATCCTTTGGCCAGCAGAGGCCAGGGCTGGAGGGCAGCAGGCTTTAGTGTCATGGCCCGATGAACACTAATAAGAGTTCTAGAAGTTGTCCTCAATGCCTAGAGGGTGCCCTTGCATGCTTGCTCCAGTCAAAGGCAAAAGTTCATTCGATGTGGCAGTTCTTTGGTTCCTTGTCTGGGAAAGCAAAGGTGAAGCTATCCCCTCACTCGGGCTGCTGGTGTGACAAGGAAGGGACACTGTCCTTGGAGCTATGCTAAAAGCCTACGAGTTCAGAGACACCACTGTGGGCCCAGAGCCAAGCCTCAAGGCTGTAATGGAGAAGTTAGCAGCCAACAGAGAAGGCTGAGGTGATCGGAGTTAAAGTTGACAGTGTGTGCTCTAGTTCCCTGTTCTGATGTGTTTCTCCCTCCCTGTGGAGGCTCCTGGGAGCATGGGCTGGCTTCCTTAATTCATTAGAACTTGAATGTTGGAGGAAGTTGCCATGAAGAGACTTGTTGATCCTTCATGTGGGGACTTTGCAAAGGCACTGGATACTGGGTCTTTTTCTTTCTGTCTGTCTTTCTTTTTATTCCCACTCCTACTGACTTCTTATTTGGGAACATAGTGTCTTCCACACTTCTCCCTTTCAGGTCTGGAGGCTAGAAGTCTGGGCCCAGGATGCCAGCATGGTTGGGTTTGGGGTCTCGTAGTCGCATGGTAGACAGACTGTACTAGTTACTCTTTCACTGCTGTGACAAACTACCAGAGAAAAACAAATCAGGGAAGGTCTTATTTGGGCTTTCAGTCTGCGGGTGAGTTAACCTTGGTGGCAGGAGTGTGAGATGGCTGGTCGGTCACATTGCGTTCTTTGTCAGGGAAGATGAGTGCTGGTGCTTAGGTCACTTTTATTTTGTTTGGTGTGATACCCCAGTACATTGATGGTAGCACCCACATTTATGGTGGGTCTTTCTTTTTCAGTTAAAAATTCCTAGAAATACTCTCATAGATACATCCATCCAGTGGTGTGTTTCCATGGTGACTGTAAATCCAGTTAAATTGATAATAAAGATTAACACATCACAGACAGCAAGCTGGTTTCTGATCTCCTCCTCCTCTTCCTTTCCATTCTCTTACACTAATCTGGGGCTGGGGATACAACCCTGTGGTAGAGTTCATGCCTAGCATTGGGGTAGGGCCATGAGTTCTACCCCTAGCACCAGAATGAAACAGGATAACACAACACAGTCAGACAGCTCTTCCCCCAAACAATAACAATTTAAAATCATGTATTAGTATTCAGGCATCTGTACTGGCCTGTCCTTGGGATTCTGACAGGATACACCCTCAGCTGCAGTCACTAAGAAGACCACCTGTGCCTGTTCACTACATTTCCTTTTAAAAGGGCCCTGCCCACCTCCCATTCCCCCTCTATTTCTTTCTCTCCCTCCTCCCTCTGTCTGTTCCCTCCCACCTCACCCCCCTCTCTCTCTCTCTGTCTCTCTCCCTCTCTCTCTCTCTCCTCTCTTCTGCTGCTCCTGTCCCCGGATACTCGTCTCCCCCCTCCTCTTTCCCTTTCCCCCTTTTTATGATCTTTTTCCCTAATTAAACAAAACAAAACAAAACCCCCCACTTGAGCTCTGTTGCATGGCATCTTTCTCTTGCGTGATGTTTTTAAAAATTACAATAATAATGCCTACCCAACTCCAAATTTTTGTTCATATGAAGACCCCTCTGGGGCAGTTTGGTTTACTATCTGCTCATACATGAGGACAGGAATTGACCCCCCCCCACCTCCCCAAGGCAGGGTTTCTCTGTGTAACAGCCCTGTCTGTCCTGGAACTCCTTTTGTAGACCAGGTTGGCCTTGAACTCACAGACATCCGCCTGCCTCTGCCTCCCAAGTGCTGGGATTAAAGGTGTGCATCACCATGCCCTGGTAAGAATGGATTGTAACCAGAAGCAAGGGAAAGATAGTTATCAGCTCTGTTGCCCTGGCTCAGCATGGGCTAGTGCAGCGGAGTCTGGGACCCACAAAGCAGGAGTAGGTGGTCCACTGGTGGTTATGTACCTGCTTAATCAGATTCAGGCCCTGCCCTCACTTGAAGCCTAGGGCCCTGTCTTAGGAGCTAGTAGATACTGTCTTTAGGTAGCCCTGAGTTTTCCTAGGCAGGCACTCTGAGGGGGCCTGTGTCATCCTAAGGATGGGGCCCTAAACATTATGAAGTATTCACATTTGCTCAGGCCTCGATGGGCCCAGTTGATGAAGGGCTTCTTTTAGAAGCAGGCTCTGAACTTGGTAAGAGGTTCCTAGGAGAGCAAACATCTGTCACTCCTCTCGAAGGTGAAGAAATGGATAAACAATAAAACAAGCTTCAGAAAAGAGCCAGCACTCAAACTTGCACTGGAAAAGTTAAGGTTAATTGCCACAAGGGAGTGGTAGGCTGGGGGAAATGGAGCTGAGACCAAAGCTGATAATTTTTGAAGGCGCTGGAGATTATGTTGTGGTTTAACATTGTGCAAATGGTATTTCCTGTCATATGGATAAAACACCACACATGGTTGTGATTGAATAGTGTGGGCTGTACAACATATGTGCTAATAATCTGGCCCGTGCTGCCTGTGGGAGCTCTGCATGACCAGAGCTTGCGGAGGGCAAGGCACACACATGCCCCTTACCTTTCTTTGCTGTTCCCCTTCAAGGGAAAACGTCCCTGGGGATGATCACTACACCATCAAGGCAAATGTTTGGGGGGAAATCTTCATGATGCCCTCAAGGTGGAGTTTGCTTTCCTAATACCAATCCTGTCACAGCAGCTAGAGGGGCATCCTGGCCCTTCCACAGCTCACACCCAGTGGCTTTGCAGAGGCAGCCGGGCATCCAGCTGGTCACAAAGATGCTTTGGAGGAGTTTGGCATGCAGGAATCTGAGAATTCCTTATTTGGGAGAGCAGCCAATGAAACCACACAGATATTGACCTTAAGACATTCTTTCTCTAGATTATGCAGCATTGTTACAGAACAGAGGCACAGAAGGCTAAGCTTGGCCTTGGCAAAAAGCGGGAGGCTGGAGCAGGAGCCCTCTTGAGGCGACAATGGGGTCCAGCCGACAGGAGATGTGGGCAATACATTCCTGAGCTCCTAGGGACCTCTTCAGCTTCTGGTCCTCCTCCAACATCTGTCACTTACGGAGGAACCAGATATTAGGGACTAGTAAGAGAGTCTTTTCCTCTCCACAGACACGCAATGATGTGGGGACAAAGTTTTTAGCCTCATATGACCTGGAGTGCCGCTTCACCAGCCAAAGCGCCCCTCCTCCACCCCCAGTTGGATCCCAACAATCTACAGGAAACCGTAGAACTTTGTATGTTCCTTTGAAAAGCCAAGGAAAAAGGAAGGTAAGATAGAAGGGCTGAGGGCAAAGAAGAACTGGATAGAGGGAGCCCGGGCCAGTGTGGAGCGGAAGGGAGGATTGTGAAGGAGTAAGACAGAATTTGGACAGTCTGGTTAGTACACCAAGATGACAGGGCAGGAAGCCAGGCCCGCCAGGCTAGTCTCAGAAAGGAGCCTGACTGTGGCTAGGATGTTGTTCTTGAGCAGTCTTGGGGGAGATCTGTCCCAGAATTTGCCTTTCCTATAGCCTGTTGTCCCAAGAGCACTTACAGATGAGCATTCGCCCCCTGGCCCATCCTTCTGTTTCTGGCTCCAGGAATGGACTGTTGTAGCTGTGAGCTGTTTCCTCAGCGAAGGGTGTGGTGGTGAGGGATACCCTGCCAGGGGTCATTAGGTCTCTGGATCTTGGGAGTATATGACTTTGGCATCACAGACCTGGTCACAGCCAGGCTCCTCTTCTTGCTGGCTAGGTGACTTTTGGCAAGTAGTTTAACTCCTCTGGCTCCTCTGAAACTAGGTGTAAAGGAGACATGAAGCCCGTAGACAAGCACTTCACGGCAAGTGTTTGCTTTCTCAAACAGAACGCTTGTACTTTCTTCCTAACTCTAACATCCAAGGGCTCTTTGAACTGGGGAAGGTTACATGGAGATTTACTTTAGAACAAGGAGAAAAGTCCACTTGGGGTTATTTGGTCCATGGTATTGAGTTCTGTGTCTCTGCCAAGTGTTTGTGGGTAAAGTAGAAAGTGCTCTCATAAATGAGACATGATCCCTGCTTGAAGAGTCTTCACTCCGACTCTCAAAGAATGTATGGTATTTTCCTTGGACGTGAGTGTTTTTATCCCAGGAATACTTTTTGGTGAGATGCTTTTCTCATAGCAGTTTTCCTTACTCACAAGGCATGCTGCAATGTTATTATAGAGTGGTAAGGCATTGCTGCTTTTATCTCTGTGCCGGGTGTGTGTATGGTGTATGTGTGCACGCACACATGTCAGTGTGTGTGAGCTCAGGTGCTGGTGCCATATTGCGAGTGTGGGGGGCTACAGGACAACCTCTGCCTTCCACTCTGTTTGAGGCAGGGTCTCTCTTGTTTGCCTGTGTATACACCAGGTCGTGCTAGCTGATTATTGAGTTTCCAGGGATTATCTTTTCCTGCCTGTTGTCACCTGATCACAGGAATGCTGGGGGAACCCCCAACCCCCATACACACATACACACAAATACTACTCTGCCTGGCTTTCTGTGAGTTCTGGTATTCAAACTGAGGCCCTCATGCTTGCATGGTAAGCACTTTACCCAGTGAGACATCTCCTTAGCCCGGCGATATTACAATCTTTTTATCTACTTAAAAACAATTAACTCTGCAAGTGTTTGGTTTCTTAACGGACAGAAAGAGGAATGCATTTTTTAATATTCATTGTAACCTATTCTGTTGTTCGTACATCCTTTAGAATGGGGTGGGGATAATTGTTATGTGGATCCCTTAACTTGGAGGGTGTTAAACTCTTGGCATATTGATCTTGGCTTCTGAATGCACCAGTTTTACTTTTTGAGGCGGGCCTCTCAAGCCATGGTTTTCTGTAGCCTTGTTTTCTCTGATGTGAATAGTCAAATGCAGCTACTTTAACTTGTTCTCCAGTTCAGTCAGCCTGGAGCTGTGTCGAAACAGGCTGCTGTGAATAGAATGGTTAACAGTTTTACAGAGAAGCAAACATCTCCCTTAGGAATCTTAAATATCAAAAGTGGATTGCTAGAAATCTCCAACATAATAAATTATCTATCTGTGCCCTAGACAGAAACTTGGTGTGTTGCCTATTTCTGGGCGAGGCTGCAACTGTGTTCTAGGAGTTTGCCCATAATGCAGGCAGACTACACACAGACTTCTGAAGGGTTGAGGCCACAGGGAGGCATGGCTTGACTGGCAGGGGGGGGACTGGGGGGAGGGCGAGGGGTTTTTTTTTTTTTTTTTTTTTTTTTTTTTTTCTGAGGAGGAGGATAGCAGAGACAGGAAGGAACTAGGAGTTCCTGGGCCCTGAACCAACTGGATTCCAGATCTCGGGAAGATGGCCAAATGCTGTGGCTGTAAAGTCTAAATGAGATGTTGCCCAGTGCATGGCTGTCCATGATGACACCTAGGTGTAGGGTGGGGAGCAGGAGGTGTCCTGGTCCAGTGTGACTTCCAACATAGGGAAAATCAACTCCCAACAAAGGTGAAAGGGAGGCTGCAGCCTTTCAGGTTTCTGAAGTAGCTAGGGCAGGTGCTTAGGCCTCTCCTGTCTCCCCTGCTCCCAACCAACAAGATCCCTGGTGCTTCTGCCAGAGGCCAGGCTGTGGGGTAGCGATGGGGGTTGGAGGAAGGGAAGCACTGGGTGGAACCGGCCCCGGTTGTTGACATTGGGCCAAATGACGGGAGGGGGCTGTGGGACAGAAAGATGAGGTCATACCGAGGGAGGGGCGGCAGAGGTAAGGGAGGCGGAACAGTGCAGGGAGGCTGCCAGAGGGGTGGTGGGGACCGAGCACAGATGGAAACAGACCCACCTCCCACTGCGTTCCTGTCGGCGGCGGAGCCCCGGAGTCCTTGGAAGTAGAGACAGGCGGTGGCCTGGGGACCGGGGGGGAGGGCCCTTAGCTCGGCTTTGGGGTTCAAGATCGTAGGTATTTTATAAAGTGTGCTAAAAATGGGGGACAGAGGGAGGGCCATTTATAAAGCAATGGGGCTGACCTCCTTGTGTATCTGATAGTCGGTTTCTTTGTCTCACAAAGGGCACAACACGGAGAAATAAACTACACCGATTTTTCTCAAGCTACCCAGGCAAAAGCGAGTGGGCAAACGGCAGGCGTGGATCCCAGCAGGACTGCGCTGCTGACTCTTCTTTCTTCTTACATAATAAACTCGGCTGGAGTAAATATTTGCTGGGTGTCTCTCGCCCTCCGGAGGGCTGTTAGGCCTGGATTCCCTTGGAGGGTGGGTTGAGGATGGGTCTGGGCTCCTGAGCCTCCTGGCGGCTCTGCTGCTTTCCAGGGGCCGTGCTTTGATCATTGCATCTGCAGGGCAGAGCCCGATGGCGAGGTGCCCCCTTCGTGCCACGGTGTGGGTTTAGAGCCCCCGGGAGTGCTCAGAGGCAGAATGAAGGCTGTCTTCAGTCCTCCCCAAGCTCCCTCTTCTCTTTCTTTGTGTCTGCTCTTTTCTAAGCTTGAGTGATTACACACGCAGGGGACCCAGAGAGAAAAGAGGCCTTACCCAAGGGCATCGTGCCAGCAGGTTCTCAGTTTTCCTGTCCAGTGGAGTTCCTGAGACTTTGCTTTCTGATAGCTTTAGAAGGACGGTTAAAAATAATGGACGTAGTTTAGTGGTAGAACATTTGCCAAGTATACCCAAGGCCCTGGATTCGTATTCCCAGAACTGGGGTATCTCAGTATTGAGGCCCTGGAACGGAGTCAGGAACAATTATTTTCGCTTTTGAAAAAAAAAAAAAAAGAAAAGAAAAAGAAAAAATCAGTTGGATATCAGTTGCCATAGAATTGTTTTAGAGTTGGAAAGAGCCCCAGAGATAGCTTCAATGTAACCCCTGGTATCTGGAGAGACTGGGCACACAGCCATGGCAGGGCAGTGCCCAGGATTTGGGTGGCCTCACTGTCTTAGTTAGGGTTTCTACAACACGACCAAAAAGCAAGTGGGGGAGGAAAGGGTTTATTTAGCTTACACTTCAGCATTGCTGTTCATCACTGAAGGAAGTCAGGACAGGAACCCAAGCAGGCAGGGTTCGGGAGGCAGGAGCTAGCAGAGGCCACAGAGGGAGCTGCTTACTGGCTTGCTCCACATGGCTTGCTCAGCCTGCTTTCTTAGAGAACCCAGGACCAGCAACCCAGGGACTGCACCACCCACCCTCCCCCATTGATCACTAGTTGAGAAAATGCCTCAGGGCTGGATCTCATGGAGGCATTTCCTCAGCTGAGGCTCCTTCCTCTCTGATGACTCTAGCTTGTGTCAAGTTGACACAAAACCAGCCAGGACATTCAATAACCTCAGGGATGGGCTCCTTGTAGCACACTTACTGCCTTTGGTGTCATTAGAATAATTTCAGTAATTTATGTCATATTAAAGGAGATGGCATATGCTTAAAAGAAATGGTCACAGAGAAGGCAAATTCACAAAGGAAGGGTAGTGATTTCCAGGGCCCAGGAGAAAGGGAGAAGAAGGTCAAGGGTTTATTTTGGGGGCAAGAAGAGTGTTCTGAAATTGGTGGCAATGAATACACAACTCTGTTATTATTCTAAAAATCACTTAGGTGCACAGTTTTTTGTTTGTTTTTGTTTTGTTTTGTTTTGTTTTTTGCTTTTTTGTTTTGTTTTGGAATGGGCCTATGGTATATGAATTGTATCTCAGTGAGTCCTGATTTTGGTCCTTACTGCTGGGTGACTGAATTTAGGCTGACACAAGAATATTGGTATACACAGTACAGGTTGTTTGATAAGCCATGAGTCAAGACCCTTTTGAATAGTCAGCTTCATATATCAAAGAGGGGGGTTGCAAGTGCCTTATAAATTCATTGGAGTTTTAGCTTTCCCTCACATTTTCCACCCCACTAACAAAATGTCTACATAACAATCATTCCAATGAAGGCTTAGTTATTTGATTCAAAACTAATGAATCACATATTCCCAACCCTCCTACCTGTGTTTCTCATACAGCCCCCCCAAATCCCTGTGTGTGTGTGTGTGTGTGTGTGTGTTGGAAAAGAATGTGAAATCTAGCCTTTGTAGCACAATGTTAAGTGAACAGTACAGAATAGCTGTCCCATTGGTTGGTCTGCACAGTCTCTTGCAATCCTTTTTATTTTTTGAGACTCCCCCTGCAGTGTCTTTTATTTCTATTTTCTAGTTTTTCTTTTTGCCATGTACTGACTGAGCCCCAGGTCTCCCCAAATTGAGATGCTATGTTCTCTGAACAGTAACCCCCATTTGTCCCTCTCCCAGGGCCTGGCACCCACTGCTTCATGGTCCTCTAAGTCTGACTTCAAATATCTTTTGTAAATCGGGCCATAGTGTATATGTCTGCTGCTGGCTTTTCACTTTATATGCAACACCCAAGATCCAGCTGTCTGTGGCAGGTGTCAGAATTAGTATTTATTTATTTATTTATTTATTTATTTATTAGGTATACAGTATTCTGCCTGCCTGGTGCCCAGAAGAGGGCACCAGATCTCATTACAGATGGTTGTGAGCCATCTTGTTGTTGCTGGGAATTGAACTCAGGACCTCTGGAAGAGCAGCCAGTGCTCTTAACCACTGAACAATCTCTCCAGTCTTAGAAATAGTTTTTAAGACCCAGTAATATTCCCTGGTACACATAGACTGTATTTTCTTCTTTCTTAAAGGCCTTCAGTATTTTTGTTTGTTTGTTTTTAATAACGAGTACAGTGTTTAAGGGGTCCTTGTTTGTTACCAGGGTGAAACTGGCCTCCTAAAACAGGTTTGGAAGCATTCCCGCCTCTTCAGCTTTTGGGGAACTTTACAAGGGACATTAATTCTTTTCTGAGTGTTTTGTAGACTTTGGCAGGGAAGCTGTTTTGTCCTGGGCTGCTTCTTTTGGGGAAGTTTTTCATGATGAAACCAGTCTCTCTCACTCAAGTTTATTCATTTTATGTGTTTGGGTGTTTTGCCTGCCTGCATGTACCTGTGGAGGTCAGAAGAGGTCATTGCATCCTCTGGGATTGGAGTTACTGATGGCTGGGAACCACCTTGTGGGCACTGGGAACTGAACCCAGCCCAATGCAAGAGCAGCCAGTGCTCTTAGCTGCTGGGCCAACTCTCCAGGCCAGACTTTCAGTTTCTATGGCTTGGGGTTGGTAGGTTGCATATTTCTAGGAATTTCAACCATCTTCCCCCATGCTACCCCATTTGTTGGTCTGCTCATAGTCTCCTGTAAACCTTTTGTTTTTGTGACTTTCATAGCAAAGTCTTTTGTTTCTAATTTGGAATCTTCCTTTCCCTCCCCCCACTAAATTAGCTAAAGATTTGTCAGTTACTCAAAGTCAGTATCCTTTGTCTGCCTTCTTTTCTCCATCTCACCTCTCCTCTGCTCTTACGCTTGTTTTCCTCCTCTCCTAACCTTGTCTTAGGCTGTCTGTGGCTTCTTCAAGCATAAAGCTGGGTAACCTTTGAATTCACCCTTGTTTTTTAATATAGGCTTTGATTGCTGTAGACTTCTGTGTTACCATGGCTTTCAGTGTGAATTGTGGAAATCTGTGTTTCATTTTCATTTGTCTCATGGTATTTTCTAATTAACACACACACACACATTCACACACACTCTCACACACATATACACACTTATACACACATACACTCACACACATGCACACTCACACACATACTCACACACATGCAAGCACACATACACTCACACGCTCACACACACACACACACACACACACACACACACAGAGACACACTCATATGCGTGCACACACATTCATACACACATATACCCAACTTCCTTTTTGAAATTGTGTGACTATGCAGTGTCATTATCTATTTAGATTGTTTATTTGCCAATTTCCGTATATTGGTGAATCTTCAGAGTTTTCCTTTTGCTATCGACTTCTAGGCAACCTTGTAGGCAAAAATACTTGCATTATTTTAGTCTTCCTAAATTTAAGGCTTCTTTTGTGGTCTATCATGACCTACTCGGGCAAGCATTCTGTGTCCACTTTAGTCTGTGCTGGATTGTGTGTATGCGTCTGGCAGGACCACGGAGGGTTGTTGTTCAAGCCCTCTTTGTAAAAAAACATTAACCATCCATCTAGATACTATCTCCAATGTAGAAAGTGAGATACCGAATTTCCTAATGTTATATTTAGCTATCTGATTCCTCTTTCATGTCTGCCCGTATTTGTTTTCCTTTTTCTTGGTGTTCTGATGCTAGGCTCTGGAACATTTACAATTATTTTATCTTCCTTGTGCACTGACCCTTTCATTGGTATACAATGTGCCTTTTGTGTTTGTAACTTTATTATTATTATTATTATTATTATTATTATTATTATTGGTTTTTCCAAGACAGGGTTTCTCTGTGTAGCCCTGGCTGTCCTAGAACTCGCTCTCTAGACCAGACTGGCCTCCAACTCAGAGGTCTGCCTGCCTTTGCCTATAAAGTGCTGGGATCAAAGGCCTGCACCACTACTGCCAAGCTATTTGTTTGTTTTAAAAATATTTTACTTTTTTATTTTTTGTGTATGAGTAATTTGCCCATTTGCATGTATGAGCACAACATGCATACCTGGTACCCATGGAGGTCAGAGAAGGGAGCTGGTCGGATCCCATGGAACTGGAGTGACAGATGCTTGTGAGCCGCCATGGGGTGTGGGAAACAAACCCAGGACTACTGCAAGAGCAACAAGTGCTCTTAACTGCTGAGCCATCTCTCCAGCCCCTGTGTGTTTTTGTTTTATGAGACTGAGGCTTGCCCTGTAGCTCAGGTCAGGCTGAATGCATTAGGTAGCCCAGGCTGGCATTGAATTAATTAGGTTTCGCCTGTCTCAGCTTCCCACATGCTGTAAGTATGAGCCACAATGCCTGGCGTTGTAACTTTTTGACTTTAAATTTGTTTTGTGTGATACAAGTGTGACTCCTGTGTTAGTCAGCTTTCTGTCACTATAACAAAATACCCAGATAATGAACTTAGAAAGAAAGGAAGGCAGATCTCTGTGAGTTGGAGACTAGCCTCGTCTACAGAGCAAGTGCCAGGATAGGCTCCAAAACTACACAGAGAAACCCTGTCTTGAAAATGCAAATAAAAAAAAAAGAAAGAAAGGAAGGAAGGAAGGAAGGGAGGAAGGAAGGACCTATACTGGTTCACGATTTTAAAGGCGTTGTCTATGGCCAATTGGCCCATGAACTTTGGGTACAACATAATGGGAGTATGGAAAGGAGGTAACCCATCTACCTCATGGTGTCAGAGAAAAAGGGGAAAGGCGGGATTTCCACATTCCCCTTACAGGGTTCACCCTCCAGTGACCCAACTTCCTTCCAGTAAGCTCTCCTTCCTAAAGTCTGTTGTGCCAGGGGCTGAGGACAGTGCCTACAATGCATGTACCCTGGGGGACAGTTTAGACGCACCCTCTGGCCTCTTCCAGGGGCAGTTCAGATCCACACTCTGACCCCTTTCCTCCCACTCTACTTTGGTTTCCATCTCCCTTCATTTCCAGCGGATGGGCGTTCTTACCTTATTGTTTTTGTTCATTCATCTGCCAAGAATGGCCACTTGTAAGCTTGGTTTTTTTGTACACAGTAAACATGTATGCTTTCCACACCCAGGTCTTTGTCAAGAAGACAGAACTCTAGCATCTTGGTTTTCAACCTTTATTTGATCTTAGATTGTCTTTCTCCTTTGCAGAAACAATGTCCCTGACTCTTTGACCAGGCCACAAGCCCGCCCTGAAGATGTGTTCTACAAACCCAGGCAGCTGGGTCACCTTCGATGAGGACCCTGCTTTTCAGTCTTCTCAAAAGGCGAAGGATTTCTCTCTGGAGACCCAAAGTGTTTGCAGACCAAATGGACTGAAGCTGAACCTTCCTGGCCTCAGGGACTTCCCTAGTACTTCCTCTTCCGCCAGCAGCACGCCCCTCTCCTCTCCCATGGTCGACTTTTACTTCAGTCCGGGACCTCCAAGCAACTCACCTCTTTCTACACCCACCAAAGACTTCCCGGGCTTCCCCGGCATCCCTAAAGCAGGGTCTCATGTGCTTTATCCTATTCCAGAATGTTCTTCAAGCAGCCCCCCCAAAACCGCAGGAGGAACAGGTCCTTCGTTATCACTGACTAAGCCAACCTGCTCACCCCAGGCCTCATTACCTAGTGACCACTTGGGCGCCCAACTGACTCCCAAAGCTGGTCTTGAAGATGACGCCAGCCCTCAGCGGGCCCCAAGCGAGACTCTGCAGTTTGAATATTTTCGAGACGACTGTGCATTTTCCAATCCATTTTGGAAAGATGAAGGTAGCAGTTCTCAGTTCCCCTTCGACTCCCTGGCAGGCAGAAAGCCGTTCTCATCAAGGGACAAGGAAGTATCCATGGATCAAAAGAGTCTTAACCAATGCTCACTCAACTACATCTGCGAGAAGCTTGAACACCTGCAGTCGGCCGAGACCCAAGACCCTCCTGGGAATTTGTCTAGGCAGAGTCTGTCTGCTGGAGACACCTCCCCTTCTTTTGTCCCACATACTCTCTTCCGGAGTCAGCCCAGAGATGGATGGTCCTTCATGCTGAGGATTCCCGAGAAGAAGAACATGATGTCTTCCCGGCAGTGGGGACCCATTTTCCTGAAGGTTCTGCCAGGAGGGATCCTGCAGATGTACTATGAGCAGGGTCTGGAAAAGCCATTCAAAGAGTTCCAGCTTGATCCACATTGCAGACTTTCTGAACCCAAACTCGAGAACTTCAGCATGGCGGGGAAAATCCACACCGTGAAGGTGGAACACGTGTCTTACTCGGAGAAAAGGAAATACCATTCCAAGACGGAAGTGGTTCGCGAGCCCGAGGTAGAGCAGATGCTGAAGCTGGGGTCCACGGATCACGGTGATTTCCTTGAGTTCCTAACCACTGTGGAGGAGGAGCTGATAAAGCTGCCCATTGTTGCAAAGCCAAGGAAGAACTACGAGGAACAAGAAATCTACCTGGACATCGTTGACAACTTTTGGGGTAAAGTAACCAAAGGAGACGGGAAATTGGTCGAAAGTGCTGTGATAACTCAGATTTCTTGCCTCTGCTTCGTGAATGGGCCGGCACAATGTTTTCTAACCTTGAATGACCTTGAACTGCAGAAACGAGATGAATGCTGTTTTGAGAAAGAACCGGATAAAAGGGGCATTGATATTCTTAACTACCATTTCCATTCGTGTGTGAAAGCTGAAGAATTCCGACAGTCCAGAGTCATTAAGTTCGTGCCACTGGATGCTTGCCGGTTCGAGCTCATGCGTTTCAAAACCTCCTACGAAGGGGACGAGCTTCCTTTTTCTGTGAAGTCCGTAGTGGCTGTCCAGGGGGCATATGTGGAACTCCAGGCCTTTGTCAACATGACCCCGGGGCTTCAGAGGTCACCGCATGCCAGTTCCTTGAGGTGCTGTGAAAATATCATGATTCACTTTCCTGTCCCAGCCCAATGGATCAAGGCCCTCTGGACCAGGAACCTTCAGAGGCAGAAATCCCTGAAAGCCAAAATGAACCGTCGGGCATGTCTGGGGAGTTTACAGGAACCAGAATCTGAACCCATCATTCAGGTCACTGTGGGGTCAGCAAAATATGAGAGCGCCTACCGGGCTGTGGTGTGGAAGATAGATCGGCTTCCGGACAAAAACTCAAGTAAATATCCAATGCCTAGGCTGATTTCCATAGGAAACTGCTTAGTGTTTTCACGCATGTCCTTGGGCCCAAAGCAGGCAGAGGCGGATGGTAGCTTGAGAGCTGAGGGCACACCAGCACAGCCAGGCGGGAGGTGGGATAGCTAGCCAAACAGCTGGTTTGTTTTCTCTCTGTTTATTTTTCAAGTCATGCCCGATGACTTTAACTTCTGCCTCTTTAATATAAAAAGAAATGGCATCCTAGTTTACAGATTTTCTGTGGTGGTACCAAGGAAATGTTTATAGGAATGGAGGGAGGGAAAGGAAGGAAGAAAAGAAGAGAGAGAGGGAGGGAGGGAGGGAGGGAGAGCGAGCATCCTTTGGCTCCCAGGAAGATCATCACCTCATCCTCCATGGTTCTGTAGTTAATGCAGTTCACTTGTGAATGGGCTGGACTGAGCCCGCACCATGGTGCCTCTGGGTAGCTCCTTCTGGGTTGGTCTCACCTGCTGGGAAGTTCTGGTTCCATTTCTGAACAGAATTTCCTGGAGGAAATTAGTGTAAATTTATGGGAGGAAGGCGTGAAGGGCTGAGTCCTCCTCGAATAATCCATCCTTGCTGATCCAATCAGTTTACACCATGGATTCTTGGACCATCCAGTGCTGTTGATGGGATTATTTTCATTAGTAATGTACAGTCACTACTTTTCACTCTGCACAGACGTTATATCTAGTTCCAGAAGCTGTCTTAGCACCAATGGAAAATGGCAGAGACCAGGGTGTCTCTCAACCCTCAGGGACAGTCTCTGGGTTCCCCACATGTACAGCCACCTGCCTGCTTTCCTATTTTCTGATTTTTGCAGTGTGAGATTAAAAAAGGACAATTAGATTTCAAAATCGACCCCTGAGAACATGTTATTAAGATCTCCAAACTGGCTAGCCCCAGACACGGAGAAGGTTTAACCTGCTTCAGCAGCCTAGTTATCTGACAACCAGGTACATGATCTCTGTGCCTTATGTCAGTCACTGACATGTCCACTGCATGGGAGCTGAGCAGCCCATACCATCAGAGGCCATTGTGACTAGACTATCCCAGTACTGCCTAGCCTTTTCCCCAGCTATCTTGGCATTGTCATGGGCAAATCTTGTGGCTGATCAGATCAAGGCTGAGTGAAATGTGGCATCCGTGAAGGAGAGTGTTAGGTGTCTGGTAGGCTGGGGACTACCTTTCTGCACAGGGCACTTGGGCTCCTCAGCCTCCCAAGTTGGCATCTGGTACCTGCTGAATCCTGTCTGTAGCTCAAACTCTAGTTGGTTACATTAGCAAGTTGTAAGACATGGGCAAAGACCGGTCCAGGAAGCAGGTACCCCATCGGCTGGGCCTGCTCTTCCTCTTACATCATTCAGGTCTATAAGGAAGTGGTCATCACCCTGGGGGCACATCTCCTGGGGAGTGATTCAAACATACTGGTTCTGGATCCCGGGGATACTGCTGTAATCTGCATGAAGCGTTCTTTAAAATAGTCCGGTGTTCAAAACACCCACAGTCTCTCTCTCTCTCTCTCTCTCTCTCTCTCTCTCTCTCTCTCTTTTCCTTTGATGTTCATAGCACAGAGAAGAAGTCCAAGGTGCACTGATAGTCCCCACCCCCTCCCCCAAGGACCAGAGGTTCCTGGGGACTGGTTAAATGGGGATACTGATCTTTATCTCCTACCCTGGCCAGACACGCACAGGAAAGGTCTGACTGAATAACAAATGGATGGATTCATCAACTCAGATCTTCCCAAATTTGCCCCCAGTTCATCTCCACTCCCCAGTGTTCTGCTAGAGTGAACGCAGATTAAAAGCGAAAGAGCTCCTTGATCAAGAGGGAAAGATTGGGAGAGAAAGACAATGGTGTAGCCACGGGGATTTAGAAAGGGTTGCCGGAGTGGGTCTCCCCAGCAACCGCGGCTTCCCCCCCCCCCCCCGCATCATCTTAGTTCTTTCCCTCGCGATTGGGGCCTCCTACATCCATTTTCTTCAGCTCTTAGTAGCTCAGTTTCAGATGTGGAATCCATTAGGTCAGGAGAAATTGGCTATCAACAGGACCTAAAGAGACTTGGTGGTTTGCTTTCCCATTCCTGAGTTGAGGAGTTACGCTGGAAGAATAATTACTAAGGCCCGGCAGTGCCCCCTCGTGGTCGGCACCGAGATGACAGGCTTTTCTCTATCACTTCTAAGTTTGACAGGACTTAGGCAAGGAACCTGGTGTCTTTAGTTCAAAGTGTGAATAAGAGTGTGCTAGTAAACACTGTAGAGTGGCCAAAATCTTGGGAAAAAGACAACAGAAAACTTGGGATAAAAATACTTTTATCACCATCTTTTTAGGAAAAATGGTAGAAGTGTTGTTTCTATCATTTAAAAAAGTATCCCCCCCACCCTGTTTCACTGGGAAACTTCCCTAATAGTTTTTTTTTCCTGAACAATGCAAACATCAAATTAAATAAACTTCAGTAGCATTCCCAAGTCTAAATGTGTAGAATCCACAGTTCTCTGATTGGCAAAGTATAGTCATTGGCTTTAAAATCCAATGGCACTTGGCAAAGTGTTAAGGTCGGCTGTCTCTGCCACTGCCCAGTATGTCTGCTGGTTGGTTATCCTCACAACTGTGTGAGACCCTCGTTGGGGAAACTGAGGTTCAGAGAATTGGGTGGCTTGCCTAGGATCACACAAGTCTTAAGTAGCAGAGCTGGGTCTAGAGTTTGTGTTCTAAAACAGTAATAGAAGAGAAAGGTTGCATCCTATCCGCTGGAAGTCTAGACAGGAGGAAAGATTGTGAGAACTCCACTCATCCCCGTGTCTGTCTGTCTGCCTATCTGTCCCCCTTATCCCCCCCCCCTCTGTAGTCTCACCTGCAGTGATATGGGCAGCTTACGGCCCCTCAGAGGCCACTGTTGTCCCATCCTCTGTGTTAGTGCTGTGGAGTGAGCATTGGCTGCCTGATTGATGGGTGATTTCTCTAGTCCTTTTACAGCTTCAGAATTTGATCAGTCTCCCCACAAGAAACAGGTTGTAAGGAATGAAAGGCAATTTATCTTTTAAAATAAATCTTTTTATTTAAAAAAGCAAAATCTTTTAAACTCATGTTTTTGTGCCTAGGGCTATCCTCTGATGAAAATGTTTTTCTCTTGAGTTGTATCAGTGGCACAGGAATTTAATCCAGCTTTTGAAATTACTGTTTTGTTTTTTTAAGTTACATTTATTTAAAGGTAGATTAAACTGGATACGATTAGATTCCAGGAACAATGTGGGATGACCACAGGACATTTGTGAAGTTACGATAGGGACACACACACTTGAATGTGTTTGTTGTTTGTTTTGAGGTAAGGTCTTAGGCTGACCTCAAACTCAGATGTTAGTCTAGAATGACCTTACACCCTAGTCCTCTTCCACTACCTCTTAAGCGCTGGCATTACAGGTGTGTGCCTGACTCTGAAATATTAATCCATTGAAACTCCCTCCCTCTCACATACTGTAATTCCCACCTAAACTTTCTGAGTATACCCAGTACTCTTGGGTCTGACACAGGGCCTGCCACAGCATAAGGTAGATCTCCATGTCAATGCCCTTCACCAAGAACAGATATTAGACTGAAGTATTGAAGGCTTGTACACCCATCTCTCTGCTGTATTATCTGGTCTAGTAAAAGATTTTCAGGATAATGAGTAGCAATTTTGGTAGTGAAAAAAAAAATCCATTCCACTAAAACAGAAAGTATATCAAAAGTTCAAGCCTAACTTTTAAAAGTCACGGTTTCAAAACCATGTGACCTAATATGAAGTCCATCTGCATTATCTAAAAATAAACACTGGTTTAAAGAAATGACTGGGTAATCGTGGAAACTTATCCAGTCTGCTCGGGAGAAAGGCTTCAAGGGGGCTGAATCACACTGCGGTCAAATAATTCTGTTTCATATAAATATTGCTCTTATCTTTCGATTAGAGAGCCTTTGTGACATTTGTGACTAAAGCCATCGTTGATCTGTGTGGGGATGAAGTGACAGTGCTGGAGTGACTTCAAGAACTAGTGCATCAAGCATGACTCTGGACTCTTCCCACTTGGTGCACAGTTGATGCTTGCCAACGGGACTGTTACTACATCGAGAAGCGAGTGCTGTAGACTTTTCCTTTGCTATTGCACCACTCTGACGCTGTGGGTTGACTTCTTTCTTCTAGGTCCTGATCAGCCCCATTGTCTGTCATACAAACTAGAACTTGGATCAGACCAGGAGATTCCCTCCGATTGGTATCCATTTGCTACTGTCCAGTTTTCAATGCCTGAAGCCTCTGCCTCGGGGACAGAGGTGAGGTCCCTGGGAGTGGACAGCGATGTCCAGCCTCAGAAGCATGTGTGTCAGCGGGCTTGCTACAGCATCCAGGTATCTCAAGTGCCCTGGTTCAAGTTAGGGTTTCTCGACCTTGGGTGGGGTCTGGTCAATTTGCCCCTTAAGAACCAGTCAGTTAGAAGCCAGACAATGGTGGCAAACGCCTTTAATCGCAGCACTCAGGAGGCAGAGGCAGGTGGATCTCTGTGAGTTCCAGACCAGCCTGGTTTACAAGAGCTAGTTCTAGGACAGCCTCCAAAGCCACAGAGAAACCCTGTCTTGAAAAACAAAACAAAAACAAAAAACAAAACAAAAACAACAAAAAAGAATCAGTTAGTCTGTGTCTGCCTGTCTTTCCCCTTCTTCCTTCTCACTCCAATGATATTTGGCAACAGAAAGGCTCAGAGTTTAGCCATGGAAACTTTGCTAACCATTGACATCCCTTGAGAAATCTGTGTGGTGGATCCACTGATTTCTTTCCTTACTGATAAAGTTAAGAAGGGCAGCTGGTACGCTGTGCCCTCCCCTCTGCCCCAAAGGTCACCCCCCAGGCCCCAGCTCCTAGCAACTGTATTTCAGAAGAAATTGGCTTTGCCCATGACGTGTCTACTCTTGGGGTTAGCCTGTTCCAGTGACAGGGAAAGGCACCCACTGAATGTTCTTCTGTAGGACCATCCCCGTGTCAGCTTCCCAGAGCATGGCAGGTTTAAAAGAAAAAATTGTGATGAAAGCTATGATTTCAGAGAGCTTCAGACTTGATTCTAAAAGGAAGGATTTGGGGGCTTGGTTCCCCCAAAACAAGAGTGCCTCACTTTAGAACTGGTGTCGCTCCATGGATGGACTATCTGTGTCCACAGGGTGAGGTGTCTATGTCCACATCAGGCATAAACAGTACCGGAGAGCTGTCGTCGGTGTTGTCTGACCCTGACAGTGCATTGCTTTCTCCTAACAGGTGGAAATAGAAAGGAAGTGGATCCAGATAGACGGAGAAGACCCAGATAAAGCTGGTGACTGTGTGACTCAGTGAACCATGATGTCCTGTGGGTCAAACTGGCAACCCACTGCTGGGGCAGGAAGTTCTGCTACTGTATAGTGGGACTTTGTTCTGAGTAGCAGACTGAGGCCAGAGATCCAGTGGCGAGTCTGAAGAAACATGTGTCCCACAGCAGACTGTGTGCACGTTACTCTTCTGGTATATTTTTGCTCTGGGGATATGAGCAGGAATGTGTCTGTGGCTTGTGCCAGTTACATCGTGTTGAAACAGAGGCACTCACATCTAACATGAGACCTGCTGGCCAGTTTGCCTGAAGGATGTTTGGGTTTTGATTACCCAGTGACTTTGTTTTGTTGTCTGGGTTTTGTGATTTCCCCATCTCTTCTTGCTTTGTGTGTTAGTGTGGTGGTTTGAATAAGAGTGGCCCCCATAGGCTCATAAATTTGAATGCTTAGTAACCAGGGAGTAGACCTGTTTGAAAGGATTAGAAGGATTAGGAGGTATAGCCTGATTGGAGTAGGTGTGACCTTGTTGGAGGAAGTGTTTCTCAGGGGGGCGGGCTTTGAGCTTTCAAAAGCCCATGCCAGGCCCCCACCCCCTCCCCTCTGCCTGCGGATCTGGATGTAGCTCTCAGCTACTGCTCTAGCACCATGAGTACCCTCAAGCTCCTGCCATGCTCCTGACAAGATGACAATGTACTAACCCTCTGAAAATGTAAGCAAGCCAGTGAGCAGCACTCCTCCATGGTCTCCGCATCAGCTCCTGCCTCCAGGTTCCTGCTCTGCTTGAGTCCCTGTCCTGACTTCCTTCAATAATAAACAGTGATGTGGAAGTGTAAGCTGAATAAGCCCTTCCCTCCCTAACTTGTTTTTGTCATGGTGTCTCATCACAGCAATAGAAACCCTAATTAGGACTGTTAGCATGTGGACCACCAAGGAAGGCAACCGAAGGAGACAGAACCCCAAGTATGTGGTGTCTTCTTGTTCAGCTCTGAGATGCAGTTAGTTTCTCTTACTGTGGCGTCATTTTCAAAATGTCTTTGTATTCTAATTTGTGATCCAAAGAAATTATTCCCATTGATAGAGATGCATATTTTGGAATGAGTCACCAAGATACAGTGCCTTTTGGTCTGGGGATGAGAGGGCTTCCTTTCAAATTTTTTTTCAAATTCCTTTCAATATTTATGTACATTAAAGATGAACTTTTAAAGTTCATGAATACAGTTTTCTGAAAGTAGCAACCCGAGGACTGTGTTTGGCAACAGTGTTTCCTGTTACTAATGCGACCTTCTTGCTAGGAGGCTAAGCCCAGGCTGGATGCTGTGTGTTGGTGCCACCACTCCTCAGACTCATTCCAATTCTGCTTCATGGTGAGAGTTTTCTTGTGCTGGAGTGATGGCCCAGCTGTTAAAGGCTAGGTTCACAACCGAAAAACATGAGCGTGTTTTCTTTAGAAGATGTGCAACATGAAAGACACTGTATAATTCTAGCTATATTTCTACAAGGAGACAATTCAACTCGTCCAAGTTAGAAGAATGACTTGATGGTCAGTCCCATGTTTAGTGAGATGCCGGTGGCATTAGCAGCTAGGGACTAGGGACACTGCCTGGCATTTCCTTTAGTGCTTACCATGACAAGTCAGAATCTTAAAATTTATGAAGTTGATGTTCTGAGGATTTTTTTTTTTCTGAAAAACAGAGCCCTCCATGTCATGTTAATGCCTGTTCAAGCTGTGTTGAGCCTAATCTGAGACTAGAAACTTTTTTCTCCACTCACCAGGCTTGTTTTGAGTCAGAAAGCTGTTCTAAACCACACTGACTTGTTGGCCTACAGAATTTATTTCATGCATTTGTCTTGTGTTGTGTTTATTTTTGTCTATTCAAATAGATTAAGACAAATGTTCACGATGGTTTGTATCCATCTATTTTATTATTGTTACTTTACTGTGAAGGCGCAGAAAACAGAAGTCAATGCTAAAAAATGGATTGTATGGCTCTATTTTAACTGTGTGATACATGGCTCACAATATTTGCTTGAGGCTCCTTGCCAATGTATAGAACACATATGTATGCAAGTGTATGTTTTATAAAAATCCCACCACCTTTCCTTGTATTCCGGAGTAGGTATACTTTCTCTTCAGTGATGTTGGGAAATCCCAGGGAAGTTAGCTGGATTAATTACATCTTTTTCTCTGATGTGCTTTATGGCTTCCTGACCATGAAGAACTCACAGTGGATACAGGTGAACCTAATGCATAGTCTATGTCAAAAAAGAAATCCAGCAAAGGTCCAAGGCGTTCCTCCTCCTGCCTAGAAGGTTGGCTAATATGTGTGGGTCACACTGCTGAGGTCTTTAAGTCACAAGCCACCCAGACTTCAGGACCGCCTCAAGCTTCAGCAGCAGAAGACTGCCACAAGCCCAAATTGAGTTTCTGGAACAATGTTGATAACATTAACAGCGGGGTGTGACTGCATAAATGTTAATTTGCACATCTATCGAGGACCTTAGATATCCATTAGTTGGAGTTAAATTAACATCAGGGATGGGAGGCTTTTAAATACAGTTCTTCTGACCTTAGAAATGACTGGGGGTCAAATGTAACTCCTGAGCTCTTGTGTGAAAACTTACCAGGGCTTTAGAGGATGAAAAAAGTAAAATCTCTTCTAAGGAGGCCAGCAGTGATCTTCAAAAGCCCTGGCTTTTAAAGGAGGCGGGGAGGAAATTGGAGAAGAAACGCTTCTTTGTAATCTTTTAATTTAGATAACTTCTTTATGTGTGTGACCACTTTGGAGTCTGTGGCCAACTTCAAGGACAGTACCAGTTTATAACTTGTTCTTCTGCCTTTACTGCCCTGGTCTGTTCATCTAGCCAGCACAAGGCCACATTAACTGGGCTTGTAAGTTCATGGGTTGATTGTTACATGATTGATTATGCAGGTCTGAGTGCAAGAACACTTCCCATGTCAGTGGGAACAGCTAAGTTTAATCAGTTACAAAAGATGAACGACACACTCTCCAGCTTGCCTTTAGGCCTGGTGTGTATATCAGAGAACTGTAGTACCTTTCATTCAGGAGCTGTGTTTATGAACTACCCTTTCTTACAAGTTCACTTAGATGGTTTTTCCTTAACAATGATTGTTATGTTTTACTCAAAATATTACTTTTTGACCTGTCGTTATAAATGCAGAACACATTGAACTTTGATAATCCTATAACAAAGTATTTTGTAGATTACATATTGATTTTTATAAAAGTAAAGATGTATTTTAAATGGTTCTTACTGTGCGGTAGACTTATATCTTTTGCTAGGCCTGGGGCTTTTTTTTTTTAAGGTGTGAAATCAATTTCAGTAACCTTAAACAATTGACTGTCTGTCAGATATGTGCACATAACTTCACCATTATGGAGTCCCTTGACACGAAATCTTGGCATAGCCTAGGAAATGAATATCAACAAGCTCTTATTGATCACATTATAATAGCAGAGTCCAAAAAGATTTATTTTATTATGCCTGTGCATGTATGCCATACATACATGCAGTTGCCATAGAGGCCAGAGGGGTGCTGGATCACCAGAGGCTGAAGTCACAGGCAGTTATGAGCCTCTGGATATGGGTGCGTGGGAACTGAACTCTGGTCCTCTGAAAGAACTGTATAGATTCTTAAATGCTGTATAATCTCTCTAGTCCCAAGGATGATTTTAAAAAATAATCATGACACATAAAGATAGGGAACTGACCTGAATGCCTCCTCTCTGAGGACAGACTTTCGTGGTCCTAGAGGGTACCCTAGCTTCCAAATGAAGGAGGAAACCAACAGTTATACCCAGCTATGATGCCTAAGCACAGTAGACCAGCATGCACAGTAACCCTAAGGGTACAGTTCTAATATGTGTACGTTGGTGGAAACCAGCAGCTCTCTAATTGGATGTAAGATCTGCTCAATGAGAGGGAAACCATGTCTGGTACTGGAAACTCAGTGCTGGTGAGGTCATGGGTATTGGAGGAGAACCTGTAACCACTGCTTTACTGAACCAGAATAATCCCTAATGGCAATCTAAGCATTTGTCTCTGCATTAGTCAGTGCTCTATTGCTGTGAAGAGACACTGCAACTCTTATAAACGAAGGCATTTAATTGGGACTGGCTTATTGTTTCAGAGGTTCAGTCCATTATCAGCATGGCAGGAAGCATGGTGGCATGCAGACAGACATGGTGCTGGAGAAGAAGCTGAGAATTCTACATACAGATTGTTAGGCAGCAGGAAGAGAGAGAGCCTCTGGGCCTGTCTTGGGCTTCTGAAACCTCAAAGCCCACCCCTGGTGACACACTTCCTCCACCAAGGCCACCCTTACCCCCAACAAGGCCACCCCTTCTAACCCTTTCAAATAATGCCACTCCCTAAGCATTCAAATATACGAGCCTAAGGAGGCCATTCTTCTTCAAACCACCACAATCTTTGTACCCACAGATAAGCGTAGTCCAAAGTCCTTATCAAGGAAACTTCTCTTTGCAATAGATGGAGACCACGATAAAAACCACAACCAATTAAAATGCAGAGTTGTGGAGTCTAGTCCCAAGGGGGAGGTATATCTACAAAGATATCCTACACCTGAGGCTCAGGGAACATTGCAGAAGAGGGGGCAGAAAAAGTGTAAGAGCCAAAAATTAGGGAGTTCACTGTGAAATTGTTTCCCAGTAACATTGAAGCTACTAACCCATAAAGACTCACCAACATGACTACCCAAACCTGAACTGAACAAACGTGACACGGACAGACATGCCAAAGCGGACAGAGACAAGCCCACGAGGCCTCAACCCTACATAAAGAACTACCCACAACAGAAGAAAGCTGGTAAAGGGAGGGGTGGCATGAGACTGAGCACACCAATTGGTTACCCAGTACCAAATGATCGGCAGTAAAAACATACATGGTGACATGCTGATGGGGCAGGTTACACTAGTAATAAATACTTATATATGTTAAACATGCAATAACAATGATAAAAGAAGCAATGGATTTGAAAACTAGCCAGAAGGAATATATGGGAAGACTTGGAGGGAGAAAAAAAAAGAAGGGAGAAATGTAATCATACTCTCAAAAAAAGGAAAGGGGTTGGAGAGATGGCTCAGAGGTTAAGAGCACTAGCTGCTCTTCCGGAGGCCCTGAGTTCAATTCCCAGCAACCACATGGGGGCTCACAACCATCCGTTATGAGATCTGGTGCCCTCCTCTGGAGTGCAGGCTGAACACTGTATACATAATAAATAAATAAATCTTTAAAAAAAAGTAAAGAAAAAAACAGTGATGATATAACCATGACATAAAAGGATCTGGAATGAGCATATGAACAAGATTTTATTCTGGTTAACTCATTAACTGCTGAGGGAACTGGTGAGATGTGTTTAAAAGGACCTCAAGAGGCATCAAAGGACAGAGACACAAGCAAGATGTAAAGATGTCTGAAATGAAGTCACAAACATGCTAGATCAATGGTTCTCAAGCTGTGGTCGAAAACCTTTTGGGG